CTCTAACATTCTGTGATTCTGTGACTGTTTCCAGACAGACATGGAGCCAAAAGAGGTGCTGCCTCATTATAAGAGATATGACTTTCCTACCCTTTCTCTTAACTTTTTTACATGCACGCGGATTCTGTCACAATCATCATGATTGCTGCAAGTTGTTCCCCTTCTAGGACAAGGGTGGATGCTTTTCAATGACCTTCAGCTACACAGAGGGTGAAAGGGGAGAGTGGTACCTAAGAAGTAGGATGGGATGAGCCACAGCTAGTTTCCTGCAGGCCATATTGGCGTCCCACACACGGCTTTCTGACGACTTGGAGTCACTGGTGTCTGCAAGGAGGTTAATGAATCTGTGAATCAGGGCATCGAGCTAGGAGAAAAGTAATAAGTAAACAGTTAAGAAGTTTAAGGCACAATCAAGCCCCTGGCTCTTCAGCAGTGTTTCTCAATTCCTTTCCAACTACAGAGGGAGTTAACAGAAATTATTTTCAGGTAGAATGTGTGAGCAGATGCAATCTTCCAGCTGGCACAGGATCTGAAGTCCACAGTCCCTACAGAAATCAAAGCAGGATCAGACACCTGCACACTTGTGCTTTAGAGAAGCCTTCGGCACACAGAAGCTCATGGAGCTTATACTATTTTATAGAAGGACACTGCAAAATAAGCCATACCTGAACTCTCTACTCATGAAGGTGCAGGCAGGGAAGGGGCAACAGAAGAACCATGGTAAAGAGACCAAAGTGACCCAGGAAGGTTTTGCCAGTCCTCTCCTTTTAGACTTGGCATCAAGGTAGCATCCACTCTGGGTACACAACTGGAAAGGGGCTTTCCTATGCCTCTGACTTTACCTTGCAAGTGCTGCTGTCTCTGGCTCCTTCACTAGTGAGAAGCATCTCAGGCATAGGCACAAGGAGCTCTGGTAGTTGCAGGTATATCTGAAGCAGAAGGTCCTGGCAGCATTTTCCCACAGAGCTGAAGGAAAAAGGGAGAGATCAGCCACTGATGACTACGTTAGCTCAACCAGCAAATATCCTGGACCCATGAGATTAGTAACAGCCTTCCTGCATATGGCAAACAGACCATGTAAAAAGAGCAGCTACCGCTAATCTGAATTAGTGTTTTTTTCCATCTTTGCTTCTTTTAAACTACTGAAATCATTCAGAGTCTACAGGGATCCATCCACAGGCAACGGGGATCCATCATTAGACCATTCAGGGTTAGAAAACTGTGGTTATAAATGGGCACAGGACAATAAAGCTCTGCTTACATCTCCAGTGAAGAGTTCCTGCACGTGGTACTCACAGTCATCCCCATCCCAATCAGAAGAGCAGTCAGAAGCACAACTATTCAGACTAGCCAGCCTGCTCTCTGCACACCCACCCTCCACAGATCTCCTGCACAGTCTGTACTGGGAGGCAGTATGATGCAGCGGCAACTGAGATTACTCAGTATCTATTCTAACATCACCATAGGTGAGGTTAGAATTAGGTCAGTTTGTTTCACTGCCACAAATACACCATCTTCCTTTTCTTCCCACAGTGCTAACATAGCTCTTAGAAAACAATCTAGCCTTCATTTGGCTTTGAGGGCAATCATAATGGTCAGAAGCAGGATGTATTACGAGCAGTGATTAAAGCAATGAAATCTCATGTGAAGAACTGCTAATTAAAAATAACCATTGACTTAAAAAAACCAAACAAAAAACCCCCACAAAAAAAAGCCCCAAACCACATGGCATGCATTTTGTCCTAAAGTCCTAAAAGCAAGAGAGCCTTGAAATGTAATTTTAAAAGTCACCTTCCTGGTCTGAGCACCCCTTAAAATTACAAGTAACTACAATTAGAGCAGAGTTCTCCATTTTCAACCTCACCTGCTTCCCCACTGCTGGATGCAGCTGGTCAGATACTCCGTTACTTTTTTGATGCTCTCAAGGTCCCCATGAGAACAACTGAGCAACAAAGGCAGTCGAGACTGGATGAGTGTGCAGGAAGCCTCTTCTGTGTTCTGGTGTCTGGTTTCTGCTTCAGCCAGGATCAGCTCTACCATGCTGATCAATTCTGATGCCTTTAGGTGGAGCACAAATTCCTCACGGCGCTTCTGTAATGTAAGAGAACATTCAAAATTAATCCAAACTGAATCCCTAGATCCTTAGTTCCTTCTAGTTACACCTTCCCCAACTGGAACGGAACGTTTCTTAGAACTAGACTTAAAAACTTCCCTGTATCTAGAGCTCTGAAAGCATGCATCACAGCCCCAAATGAAACCTCATTACCCCTCTTCCGCTTCTGAATTAATTTACTTCCATCCCAGCATGTGTGATGGGTCAGAAACTGTAGTTCAGTCACCAAACCAAAGAAATTCCTCTGTGGAGAAGAGATGCAACCCCCTTTTCTTGGTAAAATGGGAATTATCCCACACTGGGTTTTAGCTTGCTCACCACTGTAGCCTTGTGCCTAGATCTTTAATGGATATTGTGGCAACTGCTGTAGGAGCTGCAGAGGAAATGCCAAGTGGGCAAACTTATGCCTGTTCATATCAGCTTTTTGGACTCAAAATTACCACTGTAATATGTAACACAGATGAGCAGCTAAGTAATCAACTGAGGTACAGCAGCAAATTTGGCATGCTGCACCTGTATCACTCCAGCCACCTCTTGGGCCGTGGAAAAGTCAGGCACTGTGAAAGCATCACCTCTTGCTCCATTCAGAGAGGAATCTCAGAAGAACTGAACCACTACCTGAGGAGTTCTTTGGTCCCTTCCCTGCCAGATCCGAGGAATGTGAATACAGGCCCACAAGAAATCCAAGGATGCAGTTGGGTCAAACCTGCCAGAAGACAAAAGACAGCAGATTTGCAATTAGAGTCAATGCAGCCCTCGGGCAGCACACAAACACATGGTAGCATCTCTAAACATCATGAGTACTGTGAAGAAAGAAACATCTGCAAATGTAAAAATAGGATCCATTAAGTCCCGAGAAGGGATTTGGTTCCGTTCCCAGAATATGACTAAATATTTGTTGCAATAAGCACAGCACAGGGTACGGAGCTGAACAAATGGCATTCAGCAAGAGTGTGGTGGCTACATGGAGTCTTGCACCACAAGGCCAGAAATCAGTCATCAACATATACAATTGGTACAATCAGACCAGTGACTGTACTGTCCCAGTGCACAGAACTTCCTATCCTGGCTGTTATCCTAGATTGCAGAAATTAATGAACTTGGTAGTGAGCAAGAGACCAATAATAAAAAGCAAACTGAAATACTGCTAGCTTTAGAAGTATTGCTGGTTAAGTCATGTCCTGAATTGCTGCTATTAGGTGTTAGCATTTCCTGGTCCATAAACACAGGAAATTTAAGCAAGATACTGCAGTGGCACTTAAGTATTTGAGAGCAATGTATAGAAGCTGAGAGCTAGGTCTGCTCCAGAGATCAGACCCTGATGCCAGGAAGCGGGTTAGAGAAAGACTGGTAACGGAGTTTAGTACAACCGCAAGATCCAGCAGAGCCTGCTCAGGTACAGAAACTGCCGTCGGTTCGCTATCCAAGCCATCTTTCAAACCCCATGTTCATAAAGATTATCAACAAGGGCAATGCTAGATGGATTACCAGCGATTAGCACTTCCTGTTTAGAACACAGCCAAGTCTTTATGCACCGCTTCCATCAAACAGCAGGTAATATTTATATCAAGGTACACAAATCAGCATGACTGAAATCAACATCCTTCTCACAAAGCCTGTTTTTGGCTGGGTTACATCTGCTGGCAGATGCACTGTGGAATGTGGCAGCTCTTGTTCTCAGCTTCTATTTGTTCTCTCTCAGACACGAGTTGCCCAACTCAACACTCATTGCTAGGCCCAAAAAAACAAGACCCACCTTTGTTCCCGGTTTCTGCAAAGCAGAAGCTTGATGCACTGGTGCAGCGTGGTCCAGCTGGACTGGTGAGTGAGAAGAGCCAAAAGATATGGGCGGAAGGAGGGCACCTGGGACCCTGCCTGAAAGGACCAAACAAGGAAGAGATGTACAAACAGATCGTTGCTCCAAGGTAGATGTAGCAGATACTGTGTATATTACAGAAGGATGACGATCCAGGCAGAGAGAAACACAGAAGAAAATATGCTGATTTAGGATTTGAATTGCAGTACTTTCTAACAGAACGTGGCATCAGCCATGAAATTCAGTTTCAGTCTTAGCTTTGGCATAGCACTTCTGGGCAAACTATTTATCTGTCTGCAAAAATACCAATGAAAACACAGCTGGCTGGGCTTTTAGGGGATTATGTCATGTCTGTAATGCACTCTGAAGTCCTGAAAAGAACATAGCTGAGGAAATATAAAGATGAAACATAAGCCTTTCACTGAGAAGGATGCACCGGAGTCCCCCTCCTAGTCAGCCTGTACTGCTTCGGAACTGGTGTAGCAACATGCAGCAAAACCTAAAACTACCCCTTGCCCCGTTTCCAGGTGCAGGTCAATACACCAGAAAGGTGGTTTCAGCACAAAAGTCCGTCTGCCCAACAACTCTTACTTTGTTCCAGGAGAACAGCAGCTTCTGCTGGAGATCGGGGCAGCTGCTGATCACCTCTGGGTCCAACATCTCCAGCCAGTCATTAAGAAGGCCAGAGGAGGGCCCTAGCCAAGCAGCTTCAGTACTGAGGAGAAAAAAAAGTCAGTATCAGTCATGAACTCAGACCTAACAGTGAATTCCCATCATTGCCTAGGCTCACCTGCAACTGTCCAGCTCCTTCTTTACTGCTGTTTCTTCTTTGTCCTGGAGCAACAAGGAGCTCACCACAGCAATTGGTTTCATGGCAGGAAACCTGGCAGTGGTCTCAACAGTAGCTGAGAAGAGGACAGTCAGGAGTTCCTCCAAGTACGGAGAGTGAGTTTCAATCAGACCTTGAAGAACTAGCAGAGGGACAAAGATGTCACTCATTAACTCCAGGATGTGGTGAAAGATATGGAACCTTATAAGAGTATCATGAGTGCAATCAGTCCACCATTCCCGACAGCCTGGCTCAGCAAGTGTGCTGGTTTTGTCTGGAATAGAGTTAATTTTCTTCACAACAGCTAGTACAGGGCTATGTTTTGGGTTTGTGCTGGAAACAGTGTTGATAACACAGGGATGTTTTAGTTATTGCTGAGCAGTGGTTACACAGAGTCAAGGCCCTTTCTGCTTCTCACACCACCCCACCAGCGAGTAGGCTGCAGGTGCACATGAAGTTGGGAGGGGACACAGCTGGGACAGCTGACCCCATCTGACCAAAGGGATATTCCAGATGGTATGACATCATGGTCAGCTTATAAAGCTGGGGGAAGAAGGAAGAAGGGGACGTTTAGAGTGATGCCGTTTGTCTTCCCATGTACATGTGATGGAGCCCTGCTTTCCTGGAGATGGCTGAACGTCTGCCTGCTAATGGGAAGTAGTAAATGAATTCCTTTTTTTTGCTTTGCTGGCGTGCACAGCTTTTGCTTTATTTATTAAACGGCCTTTATCTCAATCCACGAGTTTTCTCACTGTTCCTCTTACAGTTCTCACCCCCATACCACCGGGGCAGGTGAGCGAGCGGCTGCGTGGGGCTTATTGCCAGCTGGAATTAAACCATGACAGTAAGGAAGAGGGAAGCCATTTTTATTTGGGATAGCAGGCTTCTATTTCTCATTTTGTTAGTGGAAACCAACAGTGCCAAGAGACTTAATCCCAGCCCCAGATCACAGTTTATAAACCCACATACCAGTGCAAGGGAAGGAGGTGATACAAGATAGAACCAAGTTTAGATCAGTTATCATTTTCTGATCCAGGCAGAAGGCAGCTTTCCACAGCCTGCACACTAAGCTCTCCCTTGCAGGGCTGAAAGTTCAACCTGCTGCTGGAACAGGGAAGGAGGGCAGAAGTGCAGCCATACCTTTGCTGATGAGCTCTGGCTCCACATTACACTTCTCTCCTGATTTCAGGGTTGCAATGATGGCACGTACTGTGGAGCTGATCAAGTCAGGGTCACGACGGAAAGACAGAGCTTCTGTAAGGTGCAAGAAGCCACCTCGAACTGCAAAGAAATCATAGCACTAGCATCACAGAGCCAAGCAAGCCCCCAAATCAATCTTCGCTTCTACAGATGCCCCATATGGCTCCAGGGCATGACTACTCAAACACAGAAACACACTACACTACTGCCATTTTACTCCCACCAAAACCCTTGACAGCAATTCTGCATGTTACTGGAACACGTGGCTAAGAGAATACTCTATAACCACAAACCCATTTCCATGCCTAAGGTCCTGGTTATAGACTTCTCCTCCCAACAGACGGCAGATGATGACAACTCTACAAGTCATGGCGTGACCTCATTCTAGAGGCATTCTTGCATGCTCATCATTCAGGTCTACAGCTAGCATAGAATTCCTGGCCTGAGCAATTGGAAGTTTTCCCTGAGTGATCTGCTCTGCTTGCTGAGATGCTACCAGATGTCTACTGCAAACCCCCAGAGCTAAATCACTTGTCTGCATCCTCATGGAATTTATATAGCACAGTACAAAACCTCTCTTTGCTACTCCTCAGCACAGCTTTCTAAAAGGCAACCCACCCCACTGTCTGCTCTGGGTGCAGTTTTGTTGCTGTCACTTTCTTGTCCCACTTAGTCCACTCTGAGCCCCATAAGCTGCACAATGCCAGTACCGTCACTGATCCTGTGCCTTGAGGAGTACTGCACAGCAAAGGCCTTCAGCTGAGCATGCAGAGGACCATCTTCCACTGCAGGGTTTTCCAACCACTGCAGCATCTGCATGAGGACTTTGAAGAAGAGCGAGGAGAAGGCAGTGTCTTGTGGCATGCAGCGCTGGAGAGAGCAGCAAAAGAGACTTGCTTATGCACATTTCAAGAATACAATAAAGATAGCAGGAAATATGCAGATAGTGGCACATACCACCAAGAATACCTAGAGCACACCTACTCTGTTGGACCACAGCTCACTCAAATCAAAGCAGCAGCTTCTAGTGTACAAATGCAAGGCTCAGTCACACACACAATACCTCTCCCAGCATAAGTAAGGGTAATTTTGTGCCTTCCTTCATCATGATGAAAGGAATGAGATATTTAACTGGATAAATCTCAGCCTGCTCTGAACATTTCTTTAAGGAATTACAGACTTCAGCTCTCAAGTTGTCTGCAAATGCCCTGGCTTGCAAGACATGTGTGTGCTACAAAACACCACAGACTAGAGATCCCAAAACCAGAGACCCACAGCTACAAATCCACAGTGCTGCACTGTTACCAGACTAAGCCCCAATTCTCAGTAGCATGACCATCCAGATGGCTATGTCCAGGCAACTTGAGTCCCTGTGTGTCACGATCTCCAGGCTCCATTTCCAGCATTACACAGGTAGAGGGTCTGGACAGAGCAGAGCAGATGCACTGCAGACTTTCCGTTTCCTCCTCACCCCTCTTTGTTCAATGCTACAAAGATTCTCATCTTAAACCGCTCACCTGATACTGGTACAACTGGCGCACCAGCGGGCAGGAGATGAAGTGGTTACGATGCATAGCCATCACCAACGCACCGCTGTGCGGCGAGTTCATCAGTGCAGCTACTGCCTGGAGAAGTCGTGCTGTGATCCCGGTCACCTGTGCATTCCCCTGCCGGATGCGAGCCAGCTCCTGTCCCAGGGCCTGCTGTAATGCCAGGGCAAGTGGGCGTAGGTTTGAATTCTGCCACCGTGGGTCTGGATTTAGTGGGAAAAGCTGGTAGGATACAGAAGCGAATAAGTTTATGAGAGCAAATTAAAGGACCTGCTATACCATAAATACCCAGAGACAGAGGACTGATTTACCTTGTACAATCATACTGACTGGGGGCTAACTGGAACATTCTGGTACAGCTTTTTTCAGTATTTTAGTGCCTGGTACAGGAACAGGCGCAGCATCTATGTGACCCCAATATGACTATGAATACTGACACTGTGGGGAGATCACCACACTACCCAAATACTGGCAACCAACTCAGTCAATTAATTCTCTGTAGGCTCCTTCTGGAGTCAATGGAGAGAGGGAGGCTCTGCAAGCAGACAAGCCAGAGTATAAATGCTGTTTGCACACAGCTTTGCCACCAAGGCCCTGCGAGCATTTCACAAATCCTTCATCCACTGCTGAGAGGAAAGGCACTATACACAGAACAAACAATGTGTGGAGACAGTAATGTACAAGTAGGCACTAACAGTATCAGGCATGATCAAAAGCCACATCGTGTTCAAACTACATAAAAAAAATCCTTCCAGTATCAATTCCAGCAGGCTGTAATGGTGCAGCCTCATTACATGCAGGGCTTTCAAACTTATTGCCTACAAACCCTGCAGGAGGAAGAGGTCAGAAGATACAAGTACAAGAGAAATAGATTTTATAAAGCTGCTGTGGGGAAGTAGCTAATCAGCTAGAGGTTATACCAGTACCTGCAGGAAGATGCCTGCTAGATCATCTTCTGGGCCCAGAACCCGAACCTGGCTTAAGGCCCGGATGCGGCTCTGGCCTTGAGCGTTCTCAGGACTAGATTTTGACTTTGTAGTCTCAGCGCTGTCTGCAACAGGAATAAAAGAAAGAAAAATGTCCTTATGGTAGTTAGCAGCCCAACACTGGATAGTTAGTTAGTTAGAGGCCCAACACTGGATCACCTTCAGCTTTCCAGTCTCTTAACTACTAAGGAATTTCATACCTTTACTCTTGAGGCTGAGCAAGACCTACTTTTCCATATCACTCAACTCACTGCAGTAAACTCTAAAAATGTTGGAATTTCTCCCTTTGCCAGGAGCAAAGAATTCTAGCAAGGACTGGTCTAACTGCAGCTTGCTGATAAATTCCAACACAACCCCTTTTGAAGACAGCTTTTCCTGTCCCTCTCAACAGCAAAAGAGGAAGCAAGTTTGAGAGAGAACTCTGATATTTGGAAGTCCAGGCTACCCAGACAGTACCTCGACGGGCTGGTAAGGAGGCAGTGAGCAGGGAGTGGAAAGTCTGGCCTCCTGTTGCTCCTCTCTCATGCTGAACCTCCACAAGGTGAGCCATGTAGTCTGAAAAAGGAAAAAATATGAACACATACTATCTTGTTCTCTTTAGTAAAGCAGGACAGAACTGGTTGCTGTTTGTACAGTTCCCACAGTGAAGAGAATTTGCTTTTCCTATGGCCTTTTAAGCCTTGTCTCTTTTATGAGTTAGCCTCCAAATTACTTTTTAGACTCCATATGATCCAATCTACAAAATCCTTCTCTACTTCAGGAACTACAGTCAAGGGCCATCAAGACAAGTGTTAGGGAGGTGTCTACAGTGACATCAGGCTGCCAAAGCAGCCCGTGCACACGGTTTGCTGAACTGGTTTGGATTTTTCCAAGGAAGTCACAGGAGATACTAATGAAAACTGTTCAAGAAAAAGTAAAATGCCTGGTCAGCCTCATATGAGGCTCTTACTCTTGTCCATGATGTTCTGCTCCAGTGTCTGTGGGTCGTGAGACACTGCCTGATCCAGGTACTGCAGAAGTTTGCTCATACTGGAAACTGGGATTCCAAAGGACTGAACAAAGAGAAGCAGCTGCTGTGGCTCCAGGTCCTGCAGGGCTGAAATGCACAAACACTGAGTCCTCAGACCTCTGAATTGCTCAGAGGGTCATCTTTATTACCTGATCTTTGTGCTTTTGGCTGGACTGACAGTGACACATTAATGACAGGGCTGCAGAGAGCTTAAAGGCAAAACCTTGACAGCTGCCTACCATGTTTTCTTTCCTCTGCAAATCATTGCCTTCTTATTGAATCATCCAGTTAATTCACTCACTGGCTAATTTGATCTCCTCTTTAATTTGATCAAAACCTCAGGAACCCAATAATTTGTATTAAAAAATAACTTCCACCCTATCTCTTGATGGCTGCAGGCAGGAATTATTGAATAATTCAATCACTGGCTATAGAGAGCTGTCATTTAATTAGAAAAAAAGGGACGAAAGCTCTGAATATCAAGAGGAAAAGGAGCACTGATGAGCCATGCAAGGACAAAAGTAACTACAGGTATAGCTTACATCCTTCAGACACTGCTTTCTGCATTGCAAGCACACCATGCCCTATGGAAGCAGTGCTGTGTGTTGTCTGGCGACTGCATAGCTTAGCTCAATATGAATTGTTGTAGCAAAGATGGGACCCAATTCAAAGCCCCCCATTTCCTTTAAAATACACAGAAAGTGCAACATCCATACAGACTTGTTCCCCTACTTTAAAAGTAACAGTGACTGCATATCAAAGCCAGCAAGACTCAGCACTTGGACCAGAGTGGGAGGAGTACTTTCCATACTGCAGAAAAGGGCTCTACCAAAGGCACTGACCTCCTCTTCAGTTTCGGCTTTCACTGAGTTCTGCTCTTAATGCTGTGGGGATTAACCTGTGGCATCTGATGGTTGGCAAGGTTGTGTCCATCCTCAAACCCTTGTTACATGAACTGGCTACATCAAGGCTGAGCAGGGAATCGCCCTGGGACATCTCATAACATTTCCTTCCCAGAACCAGCTTGTATTCTGTACATTTGACAGCCCTAATCTATTCTATGTTTAGATTGCGACTCTCACAAAATCCAGAGACACCCTGCTTTCTAAATCCAAGCTCCCTGCTCAACTGCAAGGTCTGCAGTGACCGACGGTCCCACCCAAAGGCATCCAAGTAGGACGACTGGGCACACAGAGGACTCGAGCAGGGAAGCCTCTCCCTTTCCTGTCAGGAGGTTCTGAAACACCAACAAACATCCCACAGGCTCACCTGCATCCACGAGACGTGGGACCTCGGAGCGGATCATACGCAGCTTCAGCCAGTCAGGGAGCAGCAAAGCCTCCTCTGAGGTGTCAACCAGAAAAGCAGTAGGAAGGGGCTTCTTCTCCGGGAACCATATATCCAGTAAGGTGTAAAAATCACCATCCCCTGCTTAAGAGTGGATATTTTCTATGTTCATAAGCACCTAGAATATCCTACTTTTCTCTATAAAAATCAATACATTAAACACTTTATTGTTCCAAGGTTAGAGACAACTTGTGAATAAACACTTAGAAATGGAAATGTGAACTACACAACTGAGTGCCCAGTTCTCACACTACAAAAACAGTCCGAGTCCTTGTTTAGCAGGGAGGGACACACCATCATTCTAATATTTCCTCCTGTCTGCAAAAGGAAAAAATAAGCCTGCAAATCCTTCACTCTGTGCAGCACTATTCTGATAGATCTTACAGCTACAAACAAATATTGCAATGGACAAGCCTGTGAATAAAAAGATTAACACCAGCATGACCTGTTAGGAGATGGCAGATAAAGGAAAAGCAATCTGTGTTGTCCATGACCCCTTGGAAAAATCTGAGCACACTTCACTAACCTTGAGGTGGCCCTAGTGTCAGAAGAATAACCATGGCATGAACCACAAGGATGTGCATAGTGGCTGTTTCCCCACTAGTCCAACGGAGGAACACCTGATCCTGGGACTCTGACTGGAAAAAGGCAGGAAAAAACCAAGATGAACAATGTTGGGGAGAGAAAGGAGAATAAGATTTGTGAGATGGAGATGAAAGGAGAACATGAGAATGGACAAATTTGGTCAGACCAAAGTTCAACCTAGCCCAGTTATCTCCAACAGTAGCCATAAGATAATCAAGGAAAAGTTAAAAAAGCTTTTTATGTACAGATACACCTGGCTCTGATACTCTGCCAACCTCCAATTATTTTCAGACCAGGTAATTCTTGAACCAGATGTGGTTTCTACATACTCAGTAACCCACAATGGGCTTCTCTTTTGTTAACTTGTCCAATTTCTTCTACCTGCTTAAGAATGGCAGATGCACTCACCCAGCTGTACACCTCCTCGCCCTCCTTGCTCTGGCGCATGCGTTTGATGTAGCGAGAAAAGATGGAGAGAAGAGCAACAAGCACTGCATCTGATTCAGCACAGTACGAGAGCTTCGAGAAGAGGTGAGACATGATGGTAGAGCGCTCCACTATGAGTCGGGCCACATCCTGCAAGGGAAAAAGATCCATGAAGTCTTTACTGAACAACAATGCAAAGTCCTCCTGCTTCATTGCAGCACATTCTCCAGTTTCCATCATCAGCCCAGTTAACACCACTCTGTACATCAACATGTTAGAGTCAAGAGTAAAACAATGACACCAGGAAAAACACTGGTGCTTTGCATGCATCTTGTGATACCTTACAATGCATTCTGATGCATCCCATTGCAAAGTGAGCATTTACCTAGTAAAAATCTGCATTTCTCTGAAGAAACAGATCTACTGACTCTTATCATTTAACCTTCTCCACTTATCTAAACAGATCTATGGAGGCAGAAAGAGCATGTGAGCCTTAAAAGCAATGAAAAAAGCAGACAGAGATAGAAAACTGAATAAAAAAAAAATCAGTTAAAAAAAAATCACCAAAATGTTTTAAAAAACAAATTAGAAATCCAATTTTGGTTATAGGAGAGTGCATATCCCACCACTAAGATTCTTGACTTCTCATTCTCTCTCCAGACATGACTGCAGGTTTAGCACCTGCTGACTTGTGAAACACTACCAGGTGGTGGGATTTCTTTCAAACCGCTACTCACTCTTTCATTCCCCACACCATCTGAGGTGGGCTGCTGGACTGGAGGTTATTGCTCTGATACCATTTTATGATATGAAACCAAAGACACAGCTTGCCTTCCAAAAAACATGCAGAAACACAAACACACAGTTATCAGATTCATATGCTCCCAAAAAACTCATCCTGTTGGTACAGAAAGTACGTGTCCACCACTGTCCCAAGACACGTCCGGTCTCCCCCACCTAACCCCTGTGCCCTAGCACCCTGGCCTCTCACCAGAGCGAGGTCATTGTGCTGTCCCTGCTCCTCCACTGGGGCATGCTGGGAGAGGTACACCAGGTAAGCACTGATGGTCTGGGGATCCGTCTCCATGTGGATGGCCTAGAATGAGAATTCCTCTCATTAGAAAATGGGATTTAATGAAAACAAGCACCAGCATAAGAAAAATAATTCTGCAAGCATATAAGTATGTTAATATCATACACACATGCAGTTTGCTCAGATTCTTTTTAGCATGAGTAGGACAAATAAGCTGGTCACTTACCCCTGCCAGCTACTAACACCCACCTGTTGCAAGGCCAGAGCTGTTGTTGCTCTAACACTGTCAAACAGCGGCAGCCTCGGGAGGTCTCTCAGCAGCCACTGATATCCCTGCAGCAGTTCAGAATCACCAGAGTCTTCTTCCATGGGGTGATCCTTCTCCTCTCCATCACGCAGTCCCCCTTCTGACAGCACCAGGGACAGGCCCTGCAGAAGTCACACGGACACAGCTGTTGCACTTGAAGCCACAGCTGGACCACTAGTTTCATACTAGTGAATACAACAGAAACAAACTTCAAACATCATGGAACGATCCAAATGCAGCACACAACAGGTTTCATATCTAATATAATGTGCTCGCTTCACAGCTACTCTGCTTGAAGTTTCAGCCCTCTGTAAGCACAATCTTTCTGAGCTCTGCAATTCTGCTTGCCTTGCCTATGCTCTAGAGCACCAGGCACTCACTCATTTACATTCCCACAGACCACAGCTGCTGCCAATTACTGCATGTAGCACATGATCTGCTGAGTCTACACCTGAACTTCACAGGAAACATTGCAAAATCCAGCTCTATCTTCAGAAAAGTACTACTTGGCTGTTGAACAAGGAAGGTTTCTGAGCAGCAGGGAGTAAAGTGCATTTGATGGGGTTTGAAGATTGAGACAAGTTACTGAAGGAGGATGACATGAAACAATTTCACTGTGCTGGCTCTAGACTCCTGAGAATCTAGGGCCCTGCCCTCAGCTTCTGACAAACCCTAGTCAAGAAGATTTTCATTTTGCTCACCTTCATGGCCAAGACCCGTGAGGCCACCTGGGAGGAACTCAGGCGCCGCAGGAAATAGTCAAGCACCTCACAGGTTGTCTGTTCATCTGCTTTGGGTCCCAACAGCAAGTCTTGCAACCGTCCAAGCAACTGCCTTTGTTTCTGTTGCCTCTGTGGAGCGAGAAGTTGGCCTTTCCAGTGAAATCAAATCTGGGATGCACAGAAAGTAGATAACAGAAGTGACCCCCCAAGAGACAACTCACCTGGCGTTTCTTGGCACGCTGCTCCTTACTCTCACCCTCTTCCTCTTCTTCACCTGAGGTCGACTCATCAGCAGCATCATGAAGCAGGAACTCACAAAGGCACTGCACAGGCAGGACATCCAAGGAGCCCTCACTGGACTGAACCAGATCCGCCAGCCACGGCATTGACTGCGATGAGGCCTAGGAAGCAGGAGAACAACTATGTAATATCAGCAGAACACAGACGCAGCACACTTATCATTTAATTCCTGAGCAGTAGACCGCCTGCCCCTGCATCTTACTTAGCTTCATTCTGTCCCTCACTCTGCTCCAGTTTCAGAGACCAGGGATCAGATCACAACACAGCCAAGCCATTGAGAGGGCCCACCTGTCTTTGAATGATGTTGAGAAGAAAGTCAGGATGACGACTGCGACACAGGAGGTGGCCCAAGCGAAGCGACTGGTTCAGGCTTTTCACCTGCTCCAGGACATGTGGTGGAGGTCTGCGTGGGGGGCCCCTGCCAGAGAAACAAGAAGTTATTCACAGGCAGTCACCCTTTCACTCTGGTGTTGATGAGGATCAGTCAGGTCAGTAGAACACAAGTGACACTGCAGGTGGCAATGGAAGGACAAGGACAAAATGTGACATAATCCCACAGGCTACCAAATCTCAGTGTCTTCTTGCCCACATCAACCACCCTGTCAGCTGTAGGGTTTCCTGACTAGCACTAACTGGGATTTCCTGATGGCACCAGATTGCAGAAGGCAACTTACTGAGGGTCCAGACTCGTCAACTGGGACAGCAAGAGGCTGCTGCTCTCTGTAATTGTTTGTTTTGTGGATGCAGCAGCCAGATGACCCTCAAATGCAAGAATCTCCTGTTTTTCTCTCTGGGAGATTTGAAGTTCACGATTAATCATCTCTGTGCGCGTCTCCTCATCCGTCAAGGTACATTGAGGATAGGAATAATTACTGAGAAAATAAGTTAAAAAAGAAAATTGTTATCTTGACCTATTCAAAACACATGAACCACACTTAGAAAATCCCCAGGACCCCGGCTCCATTAGGCAACACAGAAAAAACAAGGCAGCTTCCCAGCAAGGTCAGGGAGACTGAGACCTTTTCAGCAAAGCACACCACAGTCATCCCTCCCTTTTCCTCAGCTTTATTCCCTTGCTTATAATGTTTTTGCTGGGGGAAGGCACCTTTCCCACTCGAACTGCAGTACTGCTGCCAGACAACTCATTTTACACCAGTCCCACTAGAAAGGAAGGAGCCAGCTGGCGCAAACTTCATTCAGAAATATGTGTTTTCATGGCCTATTTGATTTATGTAGGAATTTAAGCATACTAACTTGGTCATGACCATTTCCATGAGCATCTTCAGAGAGGGGTACTCCTCCCATGCAGCCAGACCTGTAGCAGAGAAAGCCAATCAGGGATACAGGAAAAGAAAGTGAGGGTCTTTATAAATATTCTAACATGCTCCAAGGTGAGGAGACACACAACAAACTCACTTTGGAACAGCTCACCACACTTAGAGCACAGACGACATGATTCCAGCCACATGCTGGTCCAAACTCCCACACTGTATTTTTGCACACACAGGAATACGCAGTTAGTTAACTGCGGTTAGCTCACCAACCCAGCACACACCTTGAACACAGGCAACCAGACTTTGGCAGACAGCACCTTGGCGAATTTTTGCAGCCGAACTAGTATCCTGAGAAATGTCCACACTCACCAATGTTTTCAGGATTGAACGCAGCCACTACAAGCAGCAGAGGCCAGGCTTTCCAGTAGAGGGTAGAAATCGCTAGATTTGGAGGCTGGTACCTGCAAAAGCCATCAACAGATACGAGTGGTTGGATTTGGTTACTTACGGCCGTGTCAAGACTGCTTTTCTCCTTAATTATGCACTGTTTAGATTCAGCCACCCCAGTTCAGTGGTTTTTTGTTTTTTTTTTTTTTTAAAGAAACCTCTCTCAAAGGGTTCAGCTGGAAATTTCTAGAGCAGAAAGGCCAGAGCACTTACAGAGGAAAGTCCATTCCACGACTCGGGTCTTAACTGCCCTAGAGAAATTCCTATCTGAACATGACACTGAAAAGGTTTCCTCATAATTTTGTTACTACAAATTGGGGAAAAGCATCTTAAAATCTGTGAGCTAAGATTGCTAGTCACAAGGTGAAAATGAACTGGATCACAACAAGATTGTCTGTGTGATAAGCCTTACCCTGGGGGTAGCTGGATGTTCTCTGGATGGTGATAAGTGCACAGATTTAAGACCGCATCGATCAGCTGGATTCTTTCTACCCTCAGGACCTCGACATCTGGGGGAGGGGAAGAAAAGACTAAGCAAGTTATTGACCTGTCTACCTGGCTGAAAGTCCTTCAAGAAAAGTACCACAGTATAACAAAAATTTTACTTCAAGCAACTATGTTATTGTGAGCTTGTTCTCATGATATTACAGGAACAACAACACTTAAAGAGCAGCAACACTTAAAAAACAAGTCAACATATAAGGTTATTGAGTTTTCCAGCTGCAATTTGGTTTCAATACTTAAGGGCAGTTTTTTTTTCCAAATATATCCTATATGATACTTGTATCTTTTTCAGAACTCAGATACACTCCTTCAGGTAAGCAGTGAATCTGCTCAGAACTTCTGGGGCTCAGAGGAACTAAAAATGCATTTTAACTTTGTTGCAAGTTTTCAGACTCGCTCTAACTTAAACTCTGAGTCTCTGAATATTTGAAATGGCGCAGCATTTAAACTGCTAGACTGAGAGGCTGGACACATTTTCACAGGATGTTCAACAGCAAAGTCTAGCTGATTCCACTTGCGCTGACCAGATCTGGATTAGACTTTTCTAGTAACCAGTTGGCACTAAGGCACTAAGAGCACCTAAGATGCTTTAGAATCAAACTCTGACAACTCCCTCAACTCTGACACAAACACATACAGCTCAACTGAACGGACGTACTCTCCAAGGATGCAGGAATTTGACAAATGCCGAATTAATTCATAAAAGGGGTAAGAGTTAAGGCTGCTTTTGTAACTGCTATTCTGTAACAGTGTTTGAATAATGGAAATGGAAGGAGCATGCAATACATGGGTTAATTACTTTCACTTCCAACCCTTTAAGTTTTGTATGGCCTAAAAAATTCTGTTCATTTTACACTATGTGTAAAGGACTAAATTGAATTTAAAAATGCTAACTCAAAACTTTGTGTGGTTATTCACAGTCCTTCACCCTCAACACAACCAATTACTTCCCAAACACTCCAGAATAGAAAATTAGTAATGAGGAGAAACAGTAGGAGAAAATAAGTAACTTCTTTAGTGAGAAAGCAACAGCAATACATGTCTGGCTTTGAGCCAAATGCTTAGCCATCACAACCAAAACATGCTTTAAGTGATGAAAGGCCCTTTGGTACATGGTAGGAGCCACCTCAGCCCTGGGCAATACGAGGACATGTAGACAGAAGTAACCACTTGCTGGCTGGAGCTTTGTGCAGTCTTACCATCCGCTTGCACAGCTGCAGCTCGCTTCACCAAGTGGTCAGCAAGCTCCATGGCATCCGCAGGACCAAGAGGAAGGTCCCGTGACAAACCGATCACAAGGATCCGCATCAGTGTGTCTTCAAGGATGGGCACCTCGGAGCACAGGCGAAGGAAGAAGCTGCATGAGACATCAATCACACTCTTTTGAAAGTGGCATGAGAGTTCCTGAAACCCTCCACATTCCCTAGAGCTCAACAGAGCAGAAGATAAATCACAGCTCAGTTTACAGTCCCTTCCTTGGTCTCCAGCTCCAAATGCAACTACCTGAAACAAATTGTTTTATGGAATACTGCTCGCATTGCCTTGTACCTCTGCACTTCAGCTTCCTTGAGACTGAGCTCCCTAACGTCACCCCAGTACAGACCACACAGTGCAAGGCTGCCCTTCACGCAATTACAGCATCAAGATACAGAACAGCTTGGCGCAGGGAATAGGAATGAAGGAGGAAGAGGAACAGATGGAGAACGGAGCAACTTCCCTCAATTTTAAGGCAGTGTAACAGATGAAGAAAATCTAAGCACAATTCCAAGCTTTTCCAACACAGAGCTATATAAGGAACACCAGAAAACACGAATTCCTCTGCCTTCAGCTATGGGTGGGGCACACACTCACTTGCGGTCACTCTCAGGGGGCCAGTTGTCCCATTTGTAGTAGGTTTCAGGCTGTTCTGTGAAGAGCACCTTGTGGAGGCTGTAGAAATGAAGATGACAGTTAAACACCATCTGTGTGAGGGTCAAGAACACATTCAACAGTTCAGTCTCCCCAAACTCCCGCTAATGCTTCCCATCCTACACATGAAGGTGTCCCCTCAGACAAGCTAGTCTAGCAAAAGTAACAACTCAATTCACAATGGAGAGGACTATACAGAGACATACTCTGTCGGGAAAGGGACTGGTCATGCATGGCAGATTTCCAAGCTGAGTCTCTTACCAGTGCACATAGTCCTTGGGCGCCAGCTTGCTGATAGATGGAACGACTGTGTGAAGCCACCACACAGCATCTCGTTGGATAGCAGCAATTTGGTTCTGGAAAGAGCGCAGCACTTCCAGGTCTGAAAAACAGTCATGTTACAAGCTACACGTATAAAGAGCCCCATCAGGAGCCAAGCAGGAGAGGATTGCTATCAGGATGGCAGCAAGCACCCCCGTGCCTCTATTCAGAATGGTGGCTTACACCCCTTTCTAACCCTAGCTGCAATGTTCCCCCAGCCTCAGGGACAGATATCTACCAAGCTGACCATCTTCAGAGGGAACCTAGGTTGTTCTGCTTACTCTTTTTCTCTCCTTTGTCCCAAGCAATTCCAGCCTCCTTCACCTGGGCTGTGATACCAAGCATCATGGAGACAGCCAGCAGATCAGTTATGTGGATGACAAACCGCTCCTTAAACAACAACAACAACAAAAAAAAGTCAGGAATCAGTAATACTCAAAGCTGCCTTCTGGAAAAGTGTTTTGTCATCAAAAATAACAATCATGGATGTTGGGAAAGGGGATATGGGAGCGCTGCTATGAAATGAAACATGCAAATACTGACTCACTCAGATAACAAAGAGCAAAAGAAAGTCCAGAAAAATAGACAGAAGACCCCAGTACATTGCTGGTACATCCAGCAGCACAGGGGTCAAACGAAATGGTACCTTGAATTCCATTTCTGCATACTGGGCCTCCTTCCGTTCCTGCATAAGGCCCAGGCAGAAGGCCTGGAAGTTGATCTCATGCTTTGTCTGTTTGATGATCTCTCGCAGCAGAGCCCGTGAAGCCCGCAGGTAATCATCCTTAGTAGTCAAAAGATCCTGGAACACCATTGCTAGGTACTGAGGGCATACAGAAAGAAAATGTTCAGTGCATTGTAACGTATCTGCATCCACAAAATAAAGACACAAGAAAACACGGCTGGTGGTACGTCTGTCCTTCAGACCCCAGGGGAGCTGTATCTTTCTAATGAAACTTCATTACCACAAAGTTGATCACCCAGAACGTGGGACTTATAAAATGCTCATGCAATTTCTAACAAGTGCAACAGTGTAATTTCAAAAACAGTACGATACAGATCACAGTTGTCCGTGGGAAGACTTCATTTGAGCATCAGTTCAGCTGAACCTCTTAGGTGGGAGTCTGGGATCACTGTCAGTCACACAAGACACTACACATACCTTTGGAGCTTGCTCTGAGCTATGCTGAAGAACAGTGTACAGGATCTGCATGTTGTTGGGATTTCTTGCATTTGATAGTTCATTGAAAATCACAAATTTGATTGTGGTTCCTAGGTTATCCCTGTGTGCGTTCAGCAGCTCTCTGCAAGGGAAGACCAGAGGTATCAGAGCTGAGGTTTCACTGCAGCTAGACCCACTGTTTTGATTTCTCTTTTAACACATGAAGAGGGTGGAGCAGCATGTGTCCAGCTATGTCAAAGGATTATTGAAAGACTTCCACGTCAATGAAATTCATTTAAACGTTACACAGAACACCCCATGGTCCAAGCTGGTATTTAAAACCATGATGCAGAGACACTAAGACTGTCAAGACCCTGGGCACATCTTCCAGAGTGATTTCCCTTCCCGTCACAGACCTGGTCACTCACTTACCTGATACACAGCATGTAGTGGTTGAGAAGGACTTTTGGCTTGAGACGAATTTTGATCAGGTTGGAAATAACTTCCATGTCCTCTGAGCTGTGGGTGTTGCAGTTCATACAGACTGACATCAGCAAGTCCTGAGCTGGCTTGGTCAACTGCAGAGGAAGAGCAGAAAGGCTACAGCCACCTGCCATCACAGATAATAAATGTAAACGGCACACAGTGTGTGGCCCTCCTGGCTGGATTCCAGACCAGGTCCAGTTGTGCTTCAACAGCTTCTGTCCTTACCTTTGGGTTCTGCAGCCACATCTCCAGCCTCTGCACAGCCATCTGCCGCACCTCTTTGTAGCCACAGGTTGCCGTGAGCAGTCGAAGGAGGTTCCTGGAGACATTGTCCATTGGCTGGCGCCGGTTGAGTTGGTCCCGCAGCATGTCTAGGACATACTCCTCCACACTCTCTGCAAGGTCTTCATACCTGGGCCACACAAACTACATTTTATTCACTTCCACACAAGCCAGCTTGGTCATGCTTCACTGTGTCCAGACATCAGCATCCTTTCTAGTTTGTCATATGCATTACAAACAAACAAAAAATTTATTCTTTTCTCTTGGAACCAGTTGTATCTAATGCTCAACATCCTCCAGCAAGTGCCACAAGATAGCTAGTACAGAGAGGGAGCTCCCTGCCGCAGCATTGCAGGAGTGGGTAAGCACAAGACAGATCTGCCACATGGGTACATGAGAAGAAGAGGCACTGTACCTGGGCATGAGCTGGCCTTCCTGCTCCGGGCTCATCTTCTCCTCTGCAATCAGCAGCTCACTCTGGCTGTCTTCCTCCTCTGTCATGGAAGGGTGTGGACTACTCCCTAAGAGAGACCAGCACATAGCATCCTTCATGAGACAACTCTTCTTTCTAGAGATCACTCACTCATACTCTTACAGGCTCAGCTTCTTTCAACGATCTCCTTCATCAGCACTGAAGGAGGCCACAACTAGTCACTTCCTCACGCTGTATCACATACAGGAACATTCTCCAAGCCTTTTTCACTGCCTGTCTTCAAACATCCCCTAGAAATTAAAGAATCCCACAGAGAGGAAAAGCAATGCCTGGAGCTTAAAGCCTGGCCTATGTGACTCCATCCAGTAACAAACCATTCTCACCAGTCAATAAACTCACCAGGCTCCATCCTCTCCCCATTCCTTTGTTCCCACTTCCCAAACATCTTCTTACCAGCACTAAGGTCCCCTCCGCTACGTCCAACTTCCCCATGCAAGAGCATGCTCTTAGGAGGCATCTTTGTGTTAAAAGCTGTTTGGATGTTATCCACAAATGTCTTGCAGTGTGGGCTGTCCACCCAGATGCGCTCCCCAAGGGAGTCCTCAATGTAAACCTGCAGGACAGAAAGCAGAAGAGAACACAAACCACGCTCAAGCCTTTTTTGTACTAGTTAATCAGAGGAGTATTTATGAGCCTCCCAAGTTTGTATTTCTTTTCAATATACAGCCATAAAATAGGTTAACCACTGCGTGGATGAAAAACTGAGACCAGATGACTGCAGGCAAGCCACATAAGAGCAAAAAATCCCAAATCCTCACATCCCAAGCTCTACTGGGCACCGAACCTCTCAAGCAGCAAAGATTTTACAACTTCTACCACTAAAATATAGAAGCTGGTCTTTTAAAAGCTTAGCCTTTTAAAATCAATAGATTGTGATAATTCGCATAGACAAACGAGCGAGTAAGAACTCACTGGGACACTTATACCAGTACAGATTGTCAAAGGCATCTCGAAAAAGAGCAAAGATAAGGCAACAAAAGGCAAAGGAGACCACAGCATTTCAACAACCCGTTGAGAATTCTCCTTTAAAAAAACCCCAAGGATTCTGGTTTTCTCCCTTCTCGATATAGCATAGGCCCTGTTTCCAACTTCTGCCTCCTCCAGCTGCATTCCCCACGCTGGGCAACAAGCCACTGGATACTCTAGGAATAAATCCTCTGCTTCTATCCTGCCCCCAACACACGCAGCCCTCCCAACCCTGGCCAGTTTTACCCATCTGCCCACGTTCTGGCAGAAGCCCCCTTGGTTCAACAACCTTGACAAAGATCTCTGGCCAGTTCTCATCCTCTTCGTAAGCTGCCATGAGAAGGTTGCAGGCCAAGACGGACACGAGGCTATTCCCTTTGGCTTTGAAATTGATGGAAGCATCTCTTCGAAGTAGGCTGCACAGCGCCTGGAATACCATCCACAAAAAAATACAATAATAACCAAGCCATTGAGCAAGAAAGTATATAGAACAGCTTTAGAAAAATAAATACAAATTGCAGTAGCTTGCCACAGAGGCACAGTATTTACAAAGACAAGCAGATTATGCTCTGGCCTGAGAGAAACTGCAACTATGCTCAAGTTGGCAGCAACAATACATCAGTAAGCCCAAGAGGCTCAACACGGCACAGCCCTCACCTCGATAACCCCTTCAGTGGCAAATATGTTTGGTTTGATTTTTGCCAGGTACATGAGGCTCAGATACAGCGTGGTATCAGGTTTGGCTCTGTTCATTTTCAGCTGCTTCACAGCTCCACACAGCACCCCCTCAATACGGTCGTCGTTGCCTTCTGCCTCTGCTGCCTCAATTTCATCCAGCAGCACCGTGGGGACAACTGCAATCATCAACACACAGGCATCAGTACTTACCCCACACAAAATCACCCACCCTGGGATGCTGGCAGGGACAGTCACCAGGAAAGCAAGGGGTAGAGACTCCTCACCTTTAGCCCTTGCAATGGCTTCTCCCCACTCAATTGCTATTAACAGTTCTGTTTCACACCTGACAACACCCCTTGATTATTTTTCAGATGGCCCATGCTAGAATATTCCTCTGCAAATGTATCTAACATCAGAAAATGGAATGACACTTCAAAAAGCAATGTTCAGGTCCAGAGTCTGCTAAAAAAAATATGAATAAAATCATAGAATGGCCTGGGTTGAAGAGGACCTTAAAGACCATCTAGTTTCAACCCTCTGCTGTGGGCAGGGTTGCCAACCACTAGAGCAGGCTGCCCAGGGCCCCATCCAGCCTGGCCTTGAACCCCTCCAGGGATGGGGCATCCACAGCTTCTCTGGGCAACCTGGGCCACTGCCTCACCACCCTCACAGTGAAAAATTTCTGCCTAATATCCAATCTAAATCTCCCCTCTCTTAGTTTAAAACCATTTCCCCACAATCCAGACCCAAAGATTTCCTCAGGGAGTCTTTCAGAGGCTGCTGTTAATCAGGCAGGATGAACACAACCCCATGCCAACGGGAGAGGAAACAAAACTGTCACTTCAGCCCTATAACCAGCCGAGGAGACCCTTAAGGACAGCACAGAAATGTCAGCAGACGGGCTTGGAGAAAGGCTCCCGGGCAAAAGCTCTAGGGAAATTTAAACTGAAGTTTGCACCTCCGTTTGAACCAATGCCCGTCACGGCAGGAGCGCAGCAAGGCCTCACCTTCGATGGGGATGACAGACGGCTCCTTGATGGAGGGGGAGATGGCTCTCTTCTCCGCCACGGCCGCCTCTGCCAGGCGTCCCAGGGCGCTCAGGGGAGGCGT